CTTCTTCGGCGAGGACCATCGAGGAACATCCTTGATCACTTGGCAAAAAAAAAACACACGCCCGAGACCGAACAAAAACACAGGGAATGGACGTCCGAGCGATGGCCAGAAGCCGGCTCCGCCGAGGAGTGACCCTTCGCTTCGGGCTGCAGGGGGTCCGGCCGCCACCGGCCTGCACGCCTGGAGCCGCGCACCCGAGGCCGCTCTTGCCCATGGCCACCCTTGCGTCTATCAGGAGGGAAAGAAACACACAGACACAATTAACCGTCGACTCCCCAGAAAACATGGGAAAATATGGGAAGTGGGGGGGAAGACAAAAACCAAGAAAATACGAGAAAATATGGGGAATCCTTTGATTTGTGTATATTCATTTGTGTGTCCCAGGCCCGCTTCACAAAGGTCGCTCTTGCCCATGGCCACCCTTGCGTCTATCCGACCAAAGAAGAGGGGGGGGATGTCGGGCGGGGCTGCGGCACGTTGGCGGGTCCTGCTCATTACCTTCCTCGTCTTCTGCTTTGAGAGGGTTTCGACGACAGGCGTTCCGGCTGCAGTTCTGAGGTGCCGGAGGCAGGCAGCTCCGAAGGATCAGCAGCAATCATATGGCGCTGACTGTTGGCGGCATTGGCCACGTTCGACGTGGAAATATCTCGACCCAGAGCCTTCCGGATCGCTTTGAGAGGGCCGCCAGTGCCCGGCACATCTTCCAGAGCCGCCTGATCTCAGAGATCCCCGATGTGGCCTGGTCCGAGTTGTCCATGTCCTGGCCTCGTCTTCGGACGCGGCACGGCCGCGGTGATGTGGGGGCGCTCGGCAATGGTGCAGCAATTTTGGCTCGCTCCAGCTCAGGCAAGAGCGCTCCCCCCTGCACCGTTCGGGCCGGGCGAAAGGGGGGGATTGGAAAGGGGGGGGTTACAAAATTTGCTGCATGCAGCTGGTTTCGGCCTCACCGAGGGGCCCATTGCTCGATACATGGCCGCCTCCGGCGCCGGGAGGCGCCGGGCAAATCAGCTACATGAGCTGATTCTCGAACCCCCCCCCTTTGCTGTCACCTTTCGCCGGACCCGAACCGCTGGCCTCTCCGTCGATGGTCCTCGGGACGGGGGTTAGCCCCGTGCGGGGCCGAGCCGGGCTGCGCCCCCCGCGGGCCTGCCCCCCGCGGGCTGCGCCCCCCCCTTCCCTCCCCCCTCCCGCCCCTCCCCTTGGCATCGCTCGGACGTGTGCATTTCTCCTTCGGCGAGGACCATCGAGGAGCATCCTTGAACATTTGGCGAGAAAGCCACGCACGAGACCGAACAAAAACACGGGCAATGGACGTCCGAGCGGTGGCCAGCGTCGCGCCGCGTCGTCTCCCTGACCTCTGCCGCTGGGCTCTTCTCGCGTTGGCGAAAGAGAGAGTCTACAGAGAAGGTTCGTGCCGCGTCGACGCGGCGGCGACCCCGCCGCGGGTGGTCAGGATTGAGCGCCGCCAGCGGCCCAGACGATCCGCCCAGATGAAACGATTTGGCGATCGAAAAGCCGCCGATCGCTCAAGGCTACACGAGCCACGCGGTGCCAGCTATCAGCGCCAGGGCCGTCTCGCCACGAGCCTGCCGTACCCCGTCCAGCTCCACCGCGTGCGTCGCATGGAAGGGCCTCGGTGGACAAGCACACCGTGGCGCTGACACCCGTACTGATGACCATCGATCTCGGCGCCGTGCTGTCCGCGCTCCGCGCGGAGATGCCGGGCGAATCGCGCAGCCGCTCCCCGCCCGGGGCGGGCGCCGCCAGGCCGGGCGCTCTTGCATCGCGGGCGGCGGACGCCGCCATGGCCCACCGCGCTCGCCTGGGCTACTCGGCGCCCAGGCAGTGGGAAGACAGCGACAGCGCCTAAGCCTGCCCAGGCGTAGTCCCCGTGGCGCCCTTCTGGTTTCAGACCCCCCCGGTTCCCACTGGGGCGGTGGCTCTAGCGGGGCCTCCGTAGCCAGCCAACCTGGAAACCATTCTGACACCACACCGCCACTTCGGGAACCACGGCCGACGTCGGTTATGGTGACCTGGGCAGCAAGTCGCTGTTTTGCCACCAGGCAGTCCAAGTTCCGCGTAGGCGCCGTGCTGCGCTTCGTGCGTCCCGACGGGTCGGAGGGCACCATCTCGGAGGAGGGCCAGTCGAGACATCGGCAGCGCTGCCTGGCGCTTCTCGTCCTGTTCCTCACCTGGGGCTGCTCGTCGCCACGGCCGGATCCGCGTCGAGAGACGGTCAGGATGGACCCCGGGAGGGTTGCCGTGTACCGATCTTGAGGTCATTTGGGCTGGGCGGGAGCGCCGCCTATCTCTGCGGGGCTCAAGGGGCGGGGGTCAGTGCACACGGGGGTCAGCTGGGCCGCCAGATCTTGCAAGATCCTGCAGAGCCAGGGCCGCACTGAGCCGGATTAGCGGGCAGGACCCTGCAGGATGCTGCAGGATCTTGCAGGGCCTGGTTGGCCTTGTTTGCGTTGACCCAGGTCATTGCGTCCCCGATGTCTCAGCTGGCCCTCCTTCGAACCATCTCAGCGGTGAACGCCGAGCCCCACGACGCGAACATACGCGGGGCGATCTGCGCGGAGCGCGCGGCGCTCTGCCAGTTCCAGCGTGACGAGGCTGGGTGCGGCGCCAAGATCTGCCGCGTGGTTTGCGTGACGGATTCCCCCCAGCTGGGAGGCGGCTGGGGGGTCACGAGCGGCGAACAATTTCTCTGGGCACAGCAAAAAATCACAACCACACTTAAGCTTAAGTCGGGCCCGTCCCTCTACAGGAGGAATATTCAAAAATTGAAAAAATGTAGTAATCCAATAGCCCTTATAACGGCGACGATGGAACACAGTGCCGGGGAACTGCTTTGAACATCACCAGTCGTTCAAAGCAGTGCCCCGGCACTGCTTTGAACGATGCGGAAATGCGATCAGCAGGAGCCTTCGTCTGTTCCTTCTCCTCTTCTCGTCGCTGTATGCTCTTCCTTGTCCTCCCTCCTCCCCCGTTCCCTCTCTAATTAATTACCTCGTTCTCCCAGTCTCACGCGCACTCTTCCTCCCCCCTCTCCTCCTCCTCTTCCTGCTTCTCCTCCTCGTCCTCCTCCTCCTCCGCCTCCTCCCCCTCATTTGTTATATTTCTCCGTCCTTGTCCTCCTGTCCCCGTTCTCCTTCTCCCTCTCCTCCTCCTCCTCCTCCTCGTCGTCGTCGTCCTCCTCCTCTTCCTCCTCCTCCTCCTCCTCCTCCTCCTTCCCTCCTCCTCCTCCTCCTCCTCCTCCTCCTCCTCCCCTTCTTCCTCCTCCTCCTCCTCCCCCTTTTCCTCTCCCTCCTCCTCCTCCTCCTCCTCCTCCCCCTTCCCCCTCTTCCTCCTCTGCTATCACTCCTCCATAATTCCTGTCCGCTCCTCCCCTTCACTGATCTTCCTCTTCGTCATCATCATCCCTTTCGTCGCACGCCTCTTAATCCTCAATCGGTTCCCAATCTTCTCGACTTTCTTGTCATCCGCGTCCTTGGCTGTTGGAGGGGCCTCAGGAATTCTCAGGGCTCTTGTGTTGCACGCGAAGGCACACCTCCCAGGAACGCATCATCCTCCTCACATTCACCCTCCTCCTCCTCATCCTCCTCCTCCATGCACGTTCGGCTCAAGCCCGCGCCGACGGTAGGTTTCACGGCGGTTGGGCGGGCTCGCGCCCGCCTCCGCGGCCTGCAGTCGGGGCAGAGATGCGTGCAGGGTGGGATGACAAAGCGGAAGAGGAAACACGGGCCGCAGTTGCGGATTCTTCAAAGAGCAGCGGCGGCGGTTGGGGAACAAGTGGGGGTTGGGGCGGCCGCAGTGGCGGATACGGCGGCGGAGGTGACCGCAGTGGCGGCTGGGGCGGCGGAGATTCTCTTGGCGGATGGAGAGGAAAAGCGCAGGATGGCGGCGACGGAAGTGACCGCAGTCGCGGATGGGAGGGCGGCGGATGGGGCGGCAACGGATGCGAGGGTTGGGGAATGGAGGGCGCCCGCTGGTGGGACGACGAGGGTGGCTGGTGGAATGCATGGGAAGGTGGCCGCTCGAGTGCCTCGGCAGGTTCTCCTGCCGCGGAGCCCGCGGCCGCAACAGCGGCGGGCAAAGGAGGCGGTCCCCTGCTTCCCCCAGGGCGCGAAGAACAAGGCGCAGTTGCGCTGTTTCAAATTGTGCGCAATGAGCCGCTGCCAATTTTCAAGTTGGAATTCTTCGAGAACTTCAGGGCGAACTGGAACGGCAATTATAAGCAGCACAACGCGGCCTTGAAGTGGTTCCGAGACGAGTACGAAGACCGAGAAAACCCTTTCGGCAGCCGCACGCCCGTCTTCGGAGGTACCGCAGTTGCGGAGGAAATTTCGAAGATCCTTAAGTACCGCGCAAAGGGGAAGGCGCAGGACAACAGGGATTGGGACTGGGACCACACTGTCAAAGTGCCGTGGTCTTGGCTGGAGATGGTCGCGCAGATGGATGGACCTACAATGCTGCGCGTCGTGTGCGGCCCTGACAATGACCGCAGTCGCGGGTTGGTCCGCTGCGAGTGCCGCCCGTGCCCTAGCAGTCTCGACAACATGAGGCACACGAAAGGGGTGGACAGAGGACAGGCGCAAAGAATCCCTCTGCCCCAGTGGGATTTCGTCCTCATCCGCGACGACGGCTCGGGCATTCGCGTCCACCCATCCTGGTCTAGCCCGAAGTTCAACACGTATGAGGTGGAGCCGCACTCGCATCCCGTGCGGGGCCCGAGGGCAGGTCTCGGCAAGAGCGATGGCCACGGAACGTTCACGTTCTGGAAGATGCTGCACGCCCATCCGAATCCTGGGCGGTTCGACGCGAGCAAGGGGGCGCAGCTGCAACCGCGGTGGTCCGCGCAGCCTTGACACCGCAGTTGCGGGATTGCGCAGCCATGGAACCGCAGTTGCGGGGACCGATCGCGTGACGCCGCGCTCGTTTGACTCACTATGCGCGCTTTCGGCCGCAGTTGCGGCGCTGCCTTCTAGCGACTTCATACAGCTTGGCCGCAGTTGCGGCGCTCCCACGACTGACCGCTGTAATTAGGTGCTTCGGGCGCGCATCACCTCCGTTGAAGCACTCGTGACGTTAAGTAGCGCGGCCGCAGTTGCGGAGACAGGTACTTAAACAGATGGATCCGCAGTTGTTCGTCGTCCTCGTATCCCCTTCCCCGTCGTCCTCGTCGCAGTCTCCTCCCTCCGCCTTTCCTCCTCGTCGCAGTTCCTTCCGTTGGCCGTAGCCCGCCTCCGTTGGCCGAGTCATTTCCCGTCGTCCTCGTCGCTTTCCCCCCCGAGGGCCGCAGTTGCGGACTTTGTTGATTCCTCCTCCTCCGTTTCTTGCCCGTCATCCTCGTCGCAGTCCCCTTGCTCCTTTCACCCTCGTCTGAGCTCTTCGCGCCATCCTCTTCCGTCGCGTCCTCTCCATCCTCCTCTTCGCCTTCCTCGTCCTCATCCCCGCCGTCTCCCTCGTTGCCGTTCCTCTCCCAAGCCGGCCGCAGTTCCCCCGTCGGACGGGGGCCGCGCGCGGCCACGCCATGGACCCAGCTCGCAAAGCCGAGGTCGACAAGCGGTTCGCCGAGCTGAAGCAGCAACTGCGGGAAAGGCTCGGCGCGCAAGGGGCTGCCGCGGATGCCGCAGTCGCGGAGCCGACGGGGGACCGCAGTAGCGGAAGCCCCGAGCGACCGCCGCGCGAGGCCTCCCCGCAGTCGTCTAGCTCCTCGCGGTCGGCCATCGAATATCGGCCGCCGCCGCCGATAAGCGCTGCGAGTGGGAGCTCTGCTGGTGGGAGGCGCGAAGAGGCGCAGTTGCGCAGGGCGCACTTGACCCCCAAGGCAAAATGGGGGCCTCGGGCGCAGACGCCGACGAAGCAGCAGGACCAACCAGCAGTGACGGGAGCCGCCACCGAGACCGCAGTTGCGGGGGTGGCCGGCGAGCCAGGTGCCGCGCGCGGCTCATCTGGGAGCAGCGCGCCCTCGGCCGTGCTGCTCGCAGCCGAGTCCAAACGAGGCGCCCAACCCGAAGACGAGGCCGCCTCCCAGGAGAAAGCCGCCGAGACAACCGCCTCGGCCGATTCGCGGCCGAGGAAAAGGCCGCCTCCCACGGAAGACTCGCCGCTGTCAGAACCGCAGTCGCGGGGTCGCGCGGGGCCTCCGTCGGAACCGCAGTTGCGGGAAGATGCGGGAGCACCGCGGAAGAAGCAGCGGACCAGGTCCCCTCCAGGGATAAACTACTTTGGGGAACGCCCCAAGTGGAACGAAGGATTCCTTCGTACAGCAGACGGCAATCGGGTTCCGTCCACCATCGCTTTGGTGTTCAACGTGGTGGTCATCACGAAGGTGGCAACAAAGGAAGATGTCTTCAGGTGCATCTTGCACCAAACTGCGGCGGTCGTCTTCGTCGTATGGGACCCCGAGCTGTTCCGCACGGGGAACGTCGAAGGCGCTTGCAGCTACGACGTTCGCGTTGGACTCAGGAGTGCCATCGACAACGCTGTCACTATGAAAAACGCCTCCGAGGAGCCTTACTGGACGACGGTTCCCCTGTTCAGAGAGACGGGCCTGGTGCTCGTGCGCCCGCACATCATCGCAGAGACCGCAGTTGCGGGTCATGTTCATGGGGCCACCCACGCCGTCACGATCCTGAGCTTTCGCCTGAAGGGCTCCGAGATGAATCCTGCCGCGGTGATCCGTTTTGCCGTCGTGTCCAGACACGCAGTCACCGAACGTCTCCAACACAAGATCACGCAAACAGAACAACAAGCGTGGCATCCAGGTTTCTTCAAGGACGCGGTTGCTGCCATCCATAAAAATGATGTGCGGTTCTTGTGCGGCCTGTTTGACATCCCGCCTGAGCAGCTCGCAGCATTGGGCCGCAGTTGCGGAGCCAGCTGCACCTGCCCGGTGGGGGTGGTGTTCAGGGCTGGACCCGCCCTGTTCGGAGGCATTGTGAAGGGCACACGCGTCATGCATCCGAATTACGTCCTCCCCATTGGCCCGTGCGACGTGCGCATTGCGGACTACAACATTGATTTTGCAGGGAGGCCGTCGAAGAACGATCCCCAGTGGCTCCCTGATTGGATGCATCGAACAAGCGACTCCATCATCTCTCGGCGCTGGGTTCCAGCGAAGTACATGCCCAAGTGGGAGGATGACCCTGACCGCAGTAGCGGAGTCAGAGAAAAGCTCCACTTGGCAGCGCTGCCCCCAATCGGCAAGGTCATTCAGAAGGAGCTCAACGAGAAGACCTTCAGCACGCACTGGTGCGAGGGCATCCACCAAAACATCGTCTTCGTCGGCCACGGACGCGCAAGTCGGGCGAGCAAGCGGAAGCACGAAGAGGCGCGATCTCCCGCAGTTGCGGACGAGCGGTGAGTGCGGCAAGACCGAGGAGCCGCAGTTGCGGAACAGAGCTCGGTACTAATTACTGGGCGCCTGCTGCCTGCGTAGTGCATCCCAGTGTAGGATAGCCCGCAGTTGCGGTGTTGCGGTTGCGGTGTAGGATAGCCCGCAGTTGCGGGGTTGCGGTTGCGAAGCCGCAGTTGCGGTTGCGTATAATAGGAGAGCACGCGGTTGCGAAGCCGCAGTTTGCAATAAGTGTGCGCGCGCTGGGTCATCATCATCGTCGTCGTCCGTCCTCGTCGTCGTCGCTGCCGTCGTCGTCGTCGCGTCTGTCGTCTGTCGTCAGCAGTCGTCGTCGGTCGTCGTCGTCGTCAAGTCTGTCGTCTGTCGTCAGCAGTCGTCGTCGTCGTCGTCCCTCCTCCCTCCTCCCTCCTCCCTCCTCCCTCCTCCCTCCTCCCTCCTCGTCCTCCTCCAGGCCGCATCCCCCCGCCACCTCCGTCCTAGCTGTCCTTCCCCTTCCCCTCCTCGTCCTCCTCCAGCTTGCACCCCCCTCCCTCCTCCAGCCTGCACCCCCCCCAAGCTCTCGCCCGATATTTTGGATTAAAACTGAGCCTTCAGTCGTCCGCAGGCATTCGGCTCAGCAGGTCGTTGGGCTCCTGGCACACACGCCTCCACCCTGAGCGACGGACGTCGTGCCATAGTCCGCCATATCGGAGCTTTGGGCCGCAGTGGCGGACAGCGTCGGCACAGATATGAACGACAGCGTCGGCACAGATAATGCCGCAGTGGCGGACAAGAAAGCCGCAGTGGCGGACGAGACAGCCGCAGTTCCAGGCGGAACGCAAGGGATCTTTCAGAGGGCCAACGCCTTGAGGTCTAGATTCAGGACAGGGGACAAGGTGCGCCTCCCTGTGCTCATGCTCGCCCCGCACACGGGCAACCGAGGCGGGCACTACCCTCAGCAGGAAAGGGTTCGGGAACTCGCTGTGAAAATCTTCCTGGCTGGATTCACGCAAGCCGAAGCTGACCACGAAGGTGTCTGCGTTCAGATGTACCCAGCACAAGAGCTGGTGCTGAGAAAAAAGGAGGACCCGACGTTCCAGACGTACACAGAGTACAATCTGGAAAAAGCGACCGGCCACCTCGCTGCGTGCTTCGACCGCAGTTGCGGAACAGACGTTGCGTATGGGACGTGTTCGCACTCCCACTTGTGCCTCGTGTTGCGGGCGTGCGCCCTGGGAGCCAAGTGGCCCATCCCCCAAGGCATGGAGTTCACGGAGGACGAGAGCGCGAGGCTGAAGCGCGTGCTCGATAAGGACGGCAATCTCGACATGGCCGCAGTGGCGGAACATGACCCTGTCGCTAAGAAACTCGTGCAGGGGGGTATGCTCATGGAAGTGCTTAGCTGGAAAATCATGGACGAGGAACCCACTGGTGCTTCGCTCATCAGCCAGTCCCTCAATAAAGGAGCCGATTTTGCGTTGCGAACGACTGAACTCACCGCGCTCCGTGTTCTGTGCAAGGCTGTTGACGCGGAGCTGCACGCCGCAGTTGCGGATCAGGTTGCCTTTGAAAAGGTCAAGCTCTCCGTCATGCACGAACTCGATCGAGTCGTTCAGGACCCAGACTTCATTGAGCTGTTCTCGTTCGTTGTTGGGCTCGGGAGCACGAAAGCGCAGTTCATCCCCTTGCTGCTCCAGTTCTGCGAGGTCTACGTGAACTCCAGGAGAAGGGCCCTTCGGCTCGGTGCCTTCGGGGCAGCCAGCGAGCTTCCCGACGACGTGCCGTGGGTCAAGGTTGCCGTGGTGATGCGATGCTACAGGAACGCGCCTGCGAGGAAGAGGGGCGTTGACACTCCTGTGTGGTGCCCTGACCCAGAACAATCGTGGAAGAAGAAGGAGTTCCGAGACTTCCTCATCGACATGAACTCGGCTCTCCGTTTGTACTTGTTCACGCTGAGCAAGGCCATCGACGGCATGGGCCCTGAGAAGGCGATCGAGTTCAAGGCGAACCTGTGCATACTGACCGCAGACGGCTTCATGCAGTACCTGAAGGACACCCACGTCAAGGAACGAAGTATCCCAGGACATCGTCAGGCGCTCCTCCGCGCTTGCGCGGAGGCCACGGGGAAGGTGGAGCCGAAGTCCAATCGGGACGCCCTTGAGAAGGCCCTCGGCGAAGTGGGAGTCCGAGGCGGGAAGCCCGATTGGTTCGATTTCAACGCGCTGCCGCGCCCAGAACCGAATGAGCCCGCAGTGGCGGGGAAGACAAAGGCTTCCGCAGAGGAGCGCGAGTTGATGCCGACGGTCATTTCCTTTGACCCCACGACGCAATTACCAACGAACCACCAGCGCAGCAGGGACACGACGGCCATTCCACGCGGATCCTTCCCTTTGCCAATCGCCGAATGGAGGCGTTCAGCGGCAGCGAAGGAGCTGGGGCGGGAGCCTGCTTTGGTCAGCGCAGTGTTGCTGTGCCTTTGGGCGCGCCACATGTCCGCAGTTGCGGAAGCGCAAGTAGAGGTGTTGCAAGACGCTGACACAGAGAAACGCACCGTCAAGGCAACCGCTGCAAACGACGAAAAATGCATCGAGTTGTGGCCGTGCGTCCCAAAGGCATCCAAGGTGCACGCCGCAAGCACGCACCCCGAGAGGGTGGCCGTGCAAGTCTGGGTGAAAGGAGATCCAAATGGGGCCACGCCCACGACCTTCTACTTGCACCCCGAGTTCAAGCCGCCTGCGGACAAGACGCCCGCCGACGTGGCTGACCACGATGTGCGGTTGAGAGCATGGAAGTGGGATGCGCAAGAGACAATGCACGTCTTCTGGGCAGTCAACAGAGTCACGGAACAGGAGATCCAGCAGAGAAACAGCCGTAATGAAAGCGCAGTTGCGCGCATCAACATGGAGCTGGAGACGAAAGAATTGGCGGTGTGCGTGCCTGGGACAGGCGGGGTCGTGCTCGCCGTGAATGTCCCTGTGCTGGTGAATACCACGGCCGTGAAGAAAGGAGAAGAGCTCCTGTGGGAGGCGAGACCCAAAACCGCACCGAAGAAGAAGGCGGCCGAGGAGACGTGGAAGACGGACGCGGCCAAGAGGGCCAAAGGGAAGCCTTCGGGCCAGCCCGCGCCGAAGAAATCGAAGAAAGGGTTCGACGAAAGCGGGAAGATGTCGCTCTAAGTAATTCAGAAGCCGCAGTGGCGGCAGTCAGGGCGGCTTGCTCGCGTGACCGCAGTTGCGGGCAACAGGCCGAAGGGGGGGCGCACGCGTGACCGCTGTTGCGGAGCGCTCGTGTAGTTTGCAGTGTCACTTGCTGATGCCGCAGTAGCGGACCGCTGACGATCGAGCACGGAGGTTCGAAACGGACCTCCTCCCTCCCTTCTCCCTCTCCTCCCTCGCCCTTCCTCCACTTCCTCCCTCTCTCCTCCTCCTTTCTCCCCTTCCTCCCAAGCTGGAAGCCGAAACTATTCATTTCCTCACTCCCTCCCTCCCTCCCTGGAGGCCCTGGAGGGCGTCCGCCCTGGAGGGCCTGGAGGGCCCTGGAGGCCCTGGAGGGCCTCCCTGGAGGCCCTGGAGGGCCTCCCTGGAGGCCCTGGAGGGCCTGGAGGGCCCTGGGCTGAGGGCGGAGGCCCTGGAGGGCCTCCGCCCTCAGGGTGCTTCAAAGCAGTGCCGGGGCACTGCTTTGAAGCATCTGTGGCTTCAAAGCAGTGCCGCGGCACTGCTTTGAAGCACCCGGGTGCTTCAAAGCAGTGCCGCGGCACTGCTTTGAACCCAAAAATGCTTCAAAGCAGTGCCCCGGCACTGCTTTGAAGCACCCTGAGGGCGGAGGCCCTCCAGGGAGGCGCGAGGATCGCAGGGGCCGAGGGAGGCCCTCCAGGGAGGCGTTCAGCTCGCCATCTGGCTCAACCGCGCGCGGCCCCACTGCCCGCACCCCCGCCTTGCCCGCAGTTGCGGCTGTGTCCAGCGCAGTAGCACACATGCCGACTTCGAGCGAATGGAGCCCTGTGTGCGTTGAGAAGGTCTTGTGCATCCGTGGAGGTTGGCTTGCGCAGACCACCCCCGTCCCCGAAAAGGATGTCAAGGTGCTCCACGCATGGCCCCTCGGAGAGATAACTTTCGTGCACGTGAACATGCAAAAGCCTTGGCTGCTCAAGGTGTGCGCCAAAGGTAAACCGACCGCAGGGGCCTTGAAGGCCTCCAAGGCCTGGGACGCGCTGAAGAAAGAAGTCGCGAAGCAGGGCGGCGCCGCAGTTGCGGACGATGAGAGCGACGGCGACGCGGGGCACGAAGCAGATGACCCCATGTCGTCCCTGGTCAGCTCCACGGACGCCACGAAGAAGCAGGCAGCGACCCCGACCAGCGCCAAGAAGCAGAAGACTGGAACGCGTTCGGCGGCTACTGGCCTGCCCAGGGGCGAGGCCGTGGAGTCGGCCATAGCCACTGTGCACTCTGTACAGATGCCCGCAAAGAGCCCCATGAAGTTTCCGCACGACACGGCCGTTCGAAACGTGCGGGTGGCCAGCTTCAAGCGGAGGACGTTGTGGCTGGACGCTGCAGACCTTGGGTGGCTGATCGACATGATCGTGGACGACGTGAGCCTCGGCGGTGTCCCCGACATCGGCGACGGCGACAAGGACGAGGCCGCAGTGGCGGACAGGGACTGGGCAACGGCGGTTGACCCTGCCACCCCGCCGGCGAAGCAAAAGGAGGTCGACCCCCTCGTGGCGCAGGGGAGCGGCTCTGGCTTCACCGTCGTTTGGGACTTCAAGGGCGCTTGGGTCGCGACCATCACGCGAGAGTGTGCCAACAAGGGCAAAAGGATCGAGATGGAGGTGAAGAAACTTACAAAGAAGAAGTGGCAGTCGGCGCAGTCGGTGAAGGGCTACGACTACGAGTGGGAGGGCATGACGCAGCACCAGCGCAAGCAAGCGGCTCTGGATTACCTCGAGCTCCAAATCCCCAGTCTGTTCGACTGAGGCCCGAAGCCGTATGGGCCGCAGTTGCGGTGGGGCTACTGAGTGCCCGCAGTTGCGGGGTGGCTGGGTGCGCGTGAACACGCGGAGGGCGAGGCGGTGTGAGGAGGCAGGCGGAAGGTTTAGGGTGTTCCACGGGTGCACGCCGTAGTGCGCCAACTTGTGTGGGCGAGCGTTTTTCTTAGAGAAGCATGGAGTGAAGCATTGAAACCCTGTGCGCGCGATGATTGGGGCTTCCGCGCGGGCGTTGTTGAAAAGTACCTCCTTCTTCGCCCCTCCGCATCGTCTTCAGTTGCTCCTCCCTCCTCCCCTCCCTCTTCCTAGTTCTGTAGCCCGCAGCCGTGTGCCCGGCCCGAGTCGTTCGCCACGCGACCGCTCATGGATGTTCCCGTGGGGCGGACATGGTATGGCGAGGAGGACGGAACGCATTTCGAGGTGGAGTGGCTCCATTACGACAGCGGCTGCGCACCGAGGAAAACGAAGTATGGCACCACTGGGCTCGCCAACATCTTGGGCCGCAGTAGCGGCGTTCCGTGCCCCAAGAAGATAAAGGTGCACGCATGTGCGGATTTTCCGTGCCTAGCGAAGTGGCCCGCGTCGCAGTACGGCCTTGTTGAGCCGCCTCGCTTTCATTTGCGGCCGTCTGCTTGGCGACCGGGCGCGACGCCACCCCCCGCAGTTGCGGCTCCAGGCGGCACCGCAGTTGCGGCTCCCTCGGCCCCTGCACACATAGCACCAGCAACACCAGCAGAACTCGCAGCTCCTGCGCAAGAAGGACACGCAGCTCCAGCACCAGAAGCACCCGCAGAACCCAAACCTCCAGCAGCCCCTGTGCCCGAAGCACCCGCAGCAGCAGTCCCCCAGCTCCTCCAGCTCAAGTGCACGCAACACCAGACCCGCCTGCTGCGCAGGAGACCGCAATTGCGGTTGAAGCTCCTGAGGGAGTGGAAGCGGACAAAGACACACCACTTCCAGCACGCTTGCCACCAGCGCGGCCGCTGCCAGAGAACTGGTCGAAGACGCAGGTCGCATTCTTCCCGTGCCCAGACCCAAAGGCTGCAGCACGAGTTGCGGCGCCTGTTGGCGACGCCTTGCGGCCACGAGTCGCGGCGCCACCCCTGGCGCCAGAGAAAGGTGTACCTGTGGAAGACGCGCCAAAGATCCAGGCCGCAGTGGCGGCGACGGTGCCTGACGTCGTGATGGCTCTCCTGAGGCAGATTCTGTCCGAGAATTCCTACATAGGGTATTCAGCTTTCATGCTGTTTGCCTTGCGGTTCGGGCGTCGACCTTACGTGTGGGAAGGCGAGAACCGCAAGGACCTCCTTGACTTCTACATGCCTTGGGCAAAGGAGAAGTGCACTGAGCCATGCGCCGTCGACGGCGTGGCGTGCGTACTCGCCGCTGCTGAGGATCTGTTCGGGGAATGGACAACGGTGGAACTCAGGCCCGTGACTCCCGAGAACCCTCTCCATGAGGTGCGCCACTGGGTGGCCGCAGTTGCGGTGGGTGGCGTGTGCTCTGAGGGGGCGGACGCGTTGAACAGGTTCTACGGTCCTCTGGGACAATGGGTCCTAGGGACTGTTTGCGATGGAAACTGCGGCATTGACCTTATGGCGATGATGTTGCAGAAACCGCAAAATGCCGAGACGCGCAAATGGCTTCGGGAGGAACTGTACGATTTCGGGGTGCGCCGCTGGGACGAACCGTGGTTGCACGACATGCTCGTTGTCACGCAGGAACTAACCTTGGAGGAGGTGCGGGCGTACCGCAGTTGCGGGGCCAGCGGCCCTGCTGGACCCATGGTCCTGCACGACTCCGAGGGCGAGGGCGAACCAGCAGAGGCGCCGAGAGAGGCGAGCGCGCCACGCCCCGCTCTCATGGCGGCGTTAGAGTGGCAGACGGGCGTGCAGGACATGGGTATATTGCTTGCCATGGCTGAGGCTATGCCCGAGGCGTTGCAGGAGGAGCAGATCAGGGCGCACGCACTGGCCAGCGCACGCCCAAAACCCGAAGTTGCGGAACAGAAGCGGCGCGTGTGCCCGCACATGCTCAGAGACCGCGAACTGGTTTGCAAAGAACTGG